ACGCAAAAGCCACACGCACTGACGCACCCACCCGTGCACGCACTGCACGCCCATCCGCCCCGCTTACGCGGCACTCACACATGAACTCGCACGCAAAGACACATGCGCGTGTACATGGTTCCAAGTTCTGCGCCCGCCACTGATTTGAAAGCTCCGTAGCACGTTCTCCATAATCTTTTTGAACAAGTTTGCGCTATGCCGTTACTTCGGTGGCACCTTGGACCAGGGTTGCATGACTTCGACACGGCAGGCAGCTTTGAGATTGGCCAAGAGGTGGAGGGCAAGGTGGTGAAGCAGACACGACAAAACCTCCGTGTAGATTTGGGTGGACTGGAGGCTGCCGGGGGGACGGGCGCGGAATGCGTTTTTCGGACGCCACTGTCCGTTTGTCAGTTCCTTGTCCAGATCATGCTTGTTGATGGTTTGGGCAGAGAGCCGTTTGGTTTGAGTCTAGATTTGCAGCACAAACGCACGCGCATTGCCCTGAAGCAAGACATGGCGCTCATTTGGAGCAACCCAAACCCGCCCGTTGGATGCAGACGAACACGTTATTCAGCCTTCAACCACTTTTGCGCTTGTTGGATATGATAGATTGCTTGCTGACAGGCAACACATAAATGATGGTTTCAACCAACACAGTCGACTGAGGCAGTTCAATTCAATCTGTCTGCAACATTTGCCAATGCAGTCCTGTCTTGCGCAACACAGCGGCAAGCATCATTTTCATCTGTCATTCTCGCCATAGCAGCCACACTTTTCATTCGGTGCGCGCTGGGTGTTGCCTGATAGTAGTTGTTTGGCCAACCAAGTTGCTCCGCAGCCTTGCCAGTGGAGAACAGGAAGCAACATGTGGCTCCAAACAACATTGCGGAGTAGGCTTTGTGTTTTGAGAGTTGGCTCTCTGCTCGTGGCAACAGCGTGGAGTGTTTGCGGAGCAGGAGTTTCGCGAAGTACTTGATGTAGAAATGCGCGCGCATTCTATTGGAACGCGGGCGGAGCAAGCTTTTCCCGCTTTAAGAAAACAACATTGTCGAGGGCGACAATCGCCACCCCCTGTTTGCGAAGCTGCCGACCCGGCCAACCCACTTTTTTTCAGAAGCACGCAACAACACGCAGCGTGAGATTGCCCGAAATGCGTGGCTGGACTTCGGGATTCCAACATCAGAGTCAGCGCAAGAAGTTTGGCCGTGAATTCCAGATGTTGACTGGGAGTAGTCAACATCATTGGTCAGGGCATTCTGGCCACAGTCACACCCACACCCACACCCCACGGCCACACACACACACACACACCCACACCAACACCCACACCCACGCCCACGCCCACGCCCACACGCAGGCACAAAGAGGTTCACAGCCCGAAAAGCGCAACAGCGTCTTGACGGTGTCAGGAAGCACGTACCAGACGAATAAATAATTAAATACCAGCCATCCAGTACCAGTGCATATGATAAATGATCCTCAGCAATCTTCCGCAATCTCTGCACGCAGACACGACCGCGTCGCAGGCAGTGATCCCCGCCGCGGAGATCTGCGACGGCTTCCCCTCGGAGGTGCCGGCGCTGAACTCCTCGGTGAAGGCTCGGGTGCTCTCCTCAAGCGCCTGGGCGATGGCAGGCTTCGGTTGGGCAAAACTGGGCTCACAGATCCCGAAGCACAAGACGCACAGAGTGTGGCTTCAAGTCAATTTGGGTGTTGGGTCAAAACAACCACCAAGATTTGGGCAATCCGCAGGTTTTGGGTTCCATGTTTCCATTGATCGGGGTAAGCCATTTTGGGGGTTATCCTGTTTTTGACCCAGAGCCAGTTGAAGGGAGTTGATTGCATCCGGCTCCGATCCATTGCATCCGGCGAATGGTAATGCCGCTGCTGCTGCTGCTGCTGCTGCTGCTGCTGCTGCTGCTGCTGCTGCTGCTGCTGCTTGTGCTGCTGCTGCTGCTGCTGCTGCTGCTGCTGCTGCTGCTGCTGCTGCTGCTGCGGCAATGTCGATGACAATTACAATGACGATGATGGTGATGGTGATGATGACGAAGATGATGGGGTGGGCGGGGTGGGTACGATTATGATTATGGTTATATCTCTGATTATGATTATGATCATTATAATCATGCAGGTTCTGCCGCTGCTGCTGCTGCTGCTGCTGCTGCCGATGATGGATGGATGGGTGGGTGGATGGATGGATGGATGGATGGATGGATGGATGGATGGATGGGTGGGTGGGTGGGTGGGTGGGTGGGTGGGTGGATGGGTGGGTGGATGGATGGATGGATGGATGCATGGATGGATGACTGGATGGCAGAGTTGAAGTGCACTCGAAGGTGAAAGCAAAGAAAGAGATGCAAGAGCAGGCGAGGGTGACGGCCAATGGCCCAGGTGATCGATGAAACAAAGCATTTTTAATTTCTTTTATTGAATGTTTCTTTTTATTTTGTCTTGAGTAATCTTGCGCTGTCATCAAAGCAGAATTGTGCTTTGTCGCTCTGCCATTGTGAGTATGCAAAATGTTTGGGGGGGGGGGGGAGGGGGGGTGGAAAGGAATCGGGACCTTTTCCGCTTTAAATGCTGTGCGGCATTGCATTTGCTTCAGATCTCATCAATGAGCTGGAGGCACTGTTAAAGACATACTTTGTGTGATGATCTCTGATGAGACCTGGTTATTGCTTTGCTCAGGTTAATATGACCCACTATCCAATATGGTTGGCGAAGCAGTGCAGGCTGCTTGTGCAATTGTCAGATGTTTTAACGATGGGACCCAGACATTTGTAGGAATGCAGGTCCTTGTCAGCTTCCCTGTTGGAGGGGAGATGTCCCAACCAGAATCCAGGGAGGATCAATGCGAATCGTCCGAGGCCCTTTGCGCCTCACCCTGCGCGAGGGCAGCCTGGAGAGACTTGAGAAACCCTCGCTGAAGGCGGACCGAACCGGGGGGGGGGGGGGGAGTTTTGAGCCTGGAACGGAGGATTCCGAGCTGGAGGCAACAACATGGTTGGAATATGTCGAAGACGTGGCGCCCATTTGTTTCAAAGATGCGGTATGTTTTTCCTCTTGGGTCCTTAAGATCTGAAGCAGGATGTGGGTGATTTGACAATATGCCAGCACAAGTGGCTCGAGCATTTTGCCATGTACTTCGCCGTTTTGCAACGTAGCCAAATAGCAAACCAAGAGCACCAGGTGCAGACAGGCAGGCAGGCTGTGCATGAAACACTCTTCTTTGCAATTACCTCAGTGATTTCAGTGCCTTCGTTTTTTTTTTGTGTGTGTGTGTGTTTCTTGTGCAGGTTAATATTGCGCTCATGGAGGGGGTTGACAGCACCGAGAAGCTAGACGCGGAGGTGGTCGACTTCAGCGCCTTGGCCTGTTGCCTTGGTTTGGCTTAAATCTGGGGGAACCCCCCCCAAACAAAAAAAGATGGCAGTGGCAAATGATGGCAATCAAACTGAAAACAGTGGAATCCATCTATTTTCAGAAAAAATAAGCTCAGGTGATATTCCCAACAGCATGCGGTGCTCTTTTTAGTGCTCGCACCACCCGCCCCCGCAGAACCTCGTGAAACCCTCGTCGAACTTTGGTGGAACCCTGGGGAACCCCCTCCAAAGAAAAATAACAATACCCTCTTTCCAACTAAAATGATAGCTGAGAGGGGCTCCCTTCAAAAGGACATGAATCTTCCAGGTACCTCTCCACTGGTGCCATGTTAGTTGGAGGAAGGGTAAACATCGGTGGTGTCCCTGGGTTGCTCTTGACCCCCCAAAATTGCCATCAAAAAACAGGCGCCCAGAATTGGGCGGAGATGCGAAGCGTATCGCCTTCCTGTCTCCGAATGACGATGCTCCGGATGGGTTCCAGGCTGGAGCAGGTCCCTTTCTTCCCCATGTTGCTGCAACGTAGGCTGAACACCCGTGAAACATAACATGTGCATGTGCCCGTATAAGCGAGCCATGGTCAAGACTATACTCACAGCTTGATAGTGTCTCCGCAGGAAAAGCAAGTCAGACACGGCATGCGACAGCTTATCGTTGACAGCTTATCGTTGGGACTCTCAACATTTTGGGAAGACAAGTGGGAACTTCCTGTAAGAATACATGGGAAGTTGGAACACTTGACCACAGCATGTGCCATACTCATTGAGACCTGACTACAAGAGTCTTGTACGGGCCATGCATCAAGGTTGCAATTAGGATGTTGTATAACTTGGACAAGAGTCTTGGTTTGGTCCAGATCGATCAACCTCCTTCTATCTGGATTCCTGGATTTGCCATTTTGAGTCTTTACAAGATGACGAGCCTAGCCCCCTGTAGGTCCGACGGCTTGATGGGGGTTTACGCCCTGTGTAAATATGTAGCACTTGCAGGTCCGGTGGTATGAACACGAAGCGATGTGACAGAAGTGAGGCACGCCTGCAAATAGGCGACCTGCCTTTCAAGACTCACCAATTTCAACTGCCGTCGGGTTCATTTTCCCAGGCATGTCGGAGGCCACCCTGCGGCTGCCGCGCGGGGACTCCGAGACTTTGGCGTTTCTGCCGAGCAACGACTTTGCGGATGGCTTGGCGATCTGGCAAAGGGGGGGGGTTGGGGGGTCTCACACGATTTTGCACCATTCATGAAGGTGAGTACTAAGGTGAGTCGGTTTTTCATCCCCGAAGGCTCAACAGCCGCCGCTTTCGCTAAGGAGATCAAGGTTGGAAGCAAGGTCCAGGTGAGGAGAAAATTCGAGCAGAATCGACGCGTGGTGGTGAGCATGCTTCCACCGAACAAAAGCCCAGAAGACGTGCTGAAGCCGGGTGATGAGTTGGAGGGCTCGGTGGAAAGCATTCTGCGAGCAGACAGGAGGCCTGCAGCCTTTGTGGATGTGCCTAAGCTGAACTCAAGTGCTCACTCCTGGGTCATGAGTCATCACCCCTTCCCAGAAGAATTGGGACAAGCAGGGGAATCCTGAACATCCCCCATGAGCAGTTAGAGCCCTTGGCATCTCCTCTAGTTGGCCTCTTCATAGTTTGGCCAATGCGAGGTTGGCTTTGACCGGCCAGCCTACCTGGACTGGCAGGAGACGGCAGACGGCTGGCCGGAGAAGGCTGGCCAAACACGCCGGTTTTGTCTCTATGACGCGTGCTTGCTTGCGTGCCTGCCTGCCTGACTGACTGCCTGCTTGCTTGCTTGCCTGCCTGCCTGACTGCCTGCCTGCCTGCTTGCTGGCTTGCTTGCCTGCCTGCCTGCCTGACTGCCTGCCTGCTTGCTTGCTTGCCTGCCTGCCGGACTGCCTGCTTGCTGGCTTGCTTGCTTGCCTGCTTGCTTGCTTGCTGGCTGGCTGGCTTGCGTGCTTGCCTGCCTGCTTGCCTGCCTGACTGCCTGCCTGCTTGCTGGCTTGCTTGCTTGCTTGCGGCCGGGCAACCTGTGGAGATGAGGGTCGATTGAGTCTGCATGCTTTCCTCGCGGTTCCTCACTTATTCAGTTTGTTTCTTTCTAGCCTTGCTGCCTTCCTGCCTTCTTGCCTTCTTCCTTCTTGCATTCTTGCATTCTTGCATGCTTGCAGTTTTGCATGCTTGCTTTGCTTTGCTTTGCGTGGCTTCGCTTTGCTTTGCTTGACTGCCTTTCTTGAGCAACTAATCTTCGCTTCTTGCTTTCTTGTTCTCATTTGGTTTCCTTTCTCTCTTTTCTAGTTTATTTTCATTTCTCTCTTTCTTGCTTTCTTGCTTTCTTGCTTTCTTACTTTCTTGCTTTCTTGCTTTCTTACTTTCTTGCTTTCTTGCTTTCTTGCTTTCTTGCTTTCTTGATTTCTTGTTTTCTTGCTTTCTTGCTTTCTTTCTTTCTTTCTTTCTTTCTTTCTTTCTTTCTTTATTTTTTTCCCCAACAGCTGGAAGCTTTGGGGTCTCAGCCCAGATAGGCTCCGGGGTGGTCCGGGGCGGCCGTGAGGTAGGGTTCCACGAGGGTTCCACCAGGGTTCCACTAGGGTTCCACGAGCGTTCCACGACGTTCTGCGAGGGCTGCCGAGCACTAAAAAGAGCACCGCATACTGTTGGGGATTTCGCCTGAGCTTATTCTTTCTGTATATCTTTCCTTTTTGAACCCTTTTTCTCCCTTACATGTTTCTTTGGTGTGTTGTCCTTTGTCTCTCTCTCTCTCTCTCTCTCTCTCTCTCTCTCGCTCTCTCTCCCTCTCTCTCTCTGTCTGTGTTTCTGGTGTTGCCCCAACAAGCGACATCTAGACAATCAGACATGCACTTGTTTACACGAAGTCCTTGTTGAGCCATAGTGGCTATCCTCCATGAGCAAGTAGATGTTGAGTCTGACGTTGCTACAGATTCCAAAGGGCTTGTGGAAAGCGTATGGCTTTGAACAAACGGAAAGCTTCGTGACTGTTAGCGTCTCCAAATTGTGTCATAGGGTCACTGACGCTCGAGGTCTTCAGGAACCTCAAGATCGGTAAGAAGCTCAGCTGCCGGGTCATCAAGGCGAGCGAAGGATGGCCAGCTTTCACATGGCTGTGGGTCAAAAATAGGGCAACCCCAAGATGGGTTGCCCGATCGGTAAATGGAAACATGGACGAAATTCTGCGGTCCGATTCCTGGTGGTTTAATTTTGACCCATACCCAAATGGTTGCTTGACCCCTCGCCGGTACTTGGGACTAGTCTGACAGCCTGCCTCGAGCCCGCTTTGTTTTGATTTTGTCGCTTCATTGTCAGTTGCAGCCCGTGCTTTGGAGCTGAGCGGTTTTGTGCAAGATGCTGAGCCTCTGGCTTATGACGGAAGGGGTTGCCAGAGAAGATTTCTGTACTCAGCGGATTGACCTGGGAAGCTGAGCACATGTACGTTCTGACATTGCCAAACAAAAACCAAACCTGTTCCCTGCAAAAGCTGTTTTGGCTTCAAAGGTCAGATGAAACTTGTTCGCAGACCTGTGATCTCTCCACATGAATCAATGCCCGCAGATCATGGGTGACCGCATCTACATCACTCGCCGATCCGGAGACCTCGAGCGTCTTAGCTTCCGGGATCGGCAAAATGTCACCCAGGAGGCCGGCAAAGGGACCCGTCTGACCTCGCAAGTTGGATCGGACACGAAATGTGCGACGCGAATTGGCTAGGAGCATTGTGTTCCGTTCTCTTCGAACACATCAGATGTACGGATTGTGTTGTTTTTGCCGTCGCAAAGATGTGTAGCCTAGAAGGTTGCACCCTCTAGATTGGCCGAGCCTCACCATCAAAAGTTGCTCACAGGCAGGCCACAAATAAAATGGAAACCGGAGAAGTGCCATTCAGACTCCTTTTATGCCTGTTCCAGCTCCAGAAACGCCCAAACGCCCGCGCCGCGCCAGGTCCGGGATCTCTTCGCGGCAATCCCGGAGGATCAGTGGATGGACGCGCAGGTCCAACGGCTTTACCCCAAGCAGGCGGTGGTCGTGGTGAAGGCTGGGAACACCTTGTCCAATCCAGATGGTTGGTTTCATTTACTAGGGTTCCAAGATGGATGCCCATTTGTCACCATCTTTTGTTGAGCCACCGCCATATCCCCAAGAGTAGTTACCAACAGCGAGACACGACTGAGTGTTGTGGTGAGCATGGTCTGAGTCTTGAGCTTACCTCCCTGTACACTGTACTCCTTCCTTGTCAGGTTGGAGTTTCGTCGGTTTGTTCCAGGTACCGATTATGTATCGACTCGTGTCGATGGTTGTTGCCCTTTAGACCTGAGCAACCCCAACATGGCGAGGACCAGCCAAAGTCACCAGCTGGCACGTCCCAAACGGACCGCAGCGGCGTCTGCTTCCCCCTTGGCCTTGCGCCCTTTAGGCACCCGACGGCACCGAAGCGGAGGGGCTGGTGCTGAAACGCTTCCTGTCAGAGGAGTTCCTGAACTCCGCAGCACCGAACCAGGCGGTGAAGGCGTCGCTTTGGGTGTGAATCAGGTCCACGAGGGGCGGGGGCAAATTTATTGGCTCACTCACAGCCCAAATTTGATGCATGAAAACCAACAGGACGACGACATATTGCCAAATCGGATTTGGTGAGGCCTAAGACGGGCAGTTCAAGCGCCTTCCCTCCCCCAGACCGATTTGCAGCCTCCTTGAAACCTGGTAGGATGGTTTAGGGGTCAATTCAGACATGTTCAAAATAGGAAGATGTCAAGGCAAGACACCTTTGGGACTTGGTATTTTGAAGGCCTTGCGCCCTCATTTTCCCAAGGAGAGGTGACTCTGGGGTAGGTGGAAGGAAACTGAAAGGTCCCCACAAGGTTCGAGAGCTTTGCCTTTTGGGGAGTGAGGGTCCAGCAGTTCGTTTTTTTTTCGCCGTAGGATTTGCGGCTTGGGGTTTCCAGCCCAGTCAGTCAATGGGACAAGGGTACTATGGTCTTAGATTGGAAGCATTTGCCCTGGCTTGGGGCAAATTCATCCATGCAAGGAGATTTGAGAGAATCCCGTCAGGTACGCCGACTAGCCAAGCAGAACAAGTCCTCAGGAAACCTTCGAGTCATGCTGACCATGAAGGAAGTAGTGCCTGAGCAGAAAGAGGCAGATAGAGTAAATAGTGTGACCAAGACACCTACTACTCCACCTAGTTGCTACTAGTGGATATCAGGCCAATCTCTTCCGTGGCTTCAAGTGGGGACTTCAAGATCATGTGTCGCGCGCCGCTAAACCGGCGTGTCCTGTTCAGCAAATGTCGCATCCAAGGAGTCCAAGGGCGCCAAGACGAGCGAGCCACAGAAGAAGGATTCCGTATCCGAGTCCGCAACGTCCACGAAGACAACTGATCCCTTGTCGGACTTGACGGACTTTGTAAGGGCCGATAAATCAACGCAGGAAGCCGGTGAGGAGTCGCAGGAGCTCAAGGATTCCGTATCCGAGTCCGCAACGTCCACGAAGACAACTGATCCCTTGTCGGGCTTGACGGACTTTTTAATGCGCTAGGTTCTGGGTTCTCTTTGTTGCCCTGCAGGATCCGTCCTGGGATTGACGCTTTGAATGCATGCCGTTCCTGCTTGTGATAATTCAAGCAGCTGGCCAAGACCAGGAGCGATGTTTGTGAAGCTTGGGGCCATGCTTTTGCTTGGCTTGCGAAGGCACAGGTGAGCGGATTTGCCCAGTGAAATCCAGAGACAGGTCGAAGGCATGGATTCGACGATGTGTGGCTTTACGTCGGCACTTACATCCTCTTTCCAGACGCGGCCACATTCAAGAACATCCATATTCAATTTGAGTTCTGGCATATTCAGCAGAATGTCTGTTTTCCTGTCCAGTTTCGCCAGGGCATCTCCTCCTTGTCCTGTGATTTGAGAGCTTGGGACGCACTTTTTTCTGGCGCACGCCAGGCGGGTGCGCTATTCCGCTTGGGGCGCCGTGGCACAGTTCTCGGAGGCGGGACGCGGCCCATGGCACGGCGGGGTTTGCCAGTTGGAGCGCCTAGGCGGGCATGGCATCCCTCTGCACTGCTGAAACTCCTTGAGCCCAGACGAGATCAAAGCCGCTTCAGGGATCCCATTTTTGGATTCGGTTTTCGGCGAATTCTCGTCTTTTTTGGTTGGATTGAATCGGATGTCGCTGGGGCTAGGGCTTTGGGCTTTGAAAAGCCCATGGCCAGACGTGTCTCAGGATCATTCCGACGTGCTCAGCGAAGAGGCCCGCAACACAAATCCACGGCCGGCTCTTCAAAGACTCCGATGCTCCGACTCGAGCGTCGTGCGAGCCATGTGGCTGTGGGCCAAAACCGTTTTGGGATCCCATTTTGGGGGTTTTCGGTGCACCACCCATTTTAGGCTTTATTTTAGTGGGGATTGGGATGTTCTCTGCGGGTACGGGCTTTTGACCCATGGCCATGTTGGAAGGCCAACTCTTTTGTCCTGAACCTGTGAATGGTTTTGTTCTTCCAAGAGCTAAGATTGTTGCATGCATCCAACTTGGACCTCTGAGAACCAAATGGGTGTGTCTCAAAATTGTGTTGGTCCCTTTAAACAACGTCCCAATGGGGTCACTTTTTCTTGCTGTCTCTTTTTAGGGAACCTCCCCAAAATGGTTGGTTTCCTTTTGGTCTCCCCTAAAAACCAACAGACATGGGGACTTGTTTTTTCTTGCTCACAAGAAACCTGCACAGACAGCGAGCGAGCCGTTGGACTTCTCTCGCAGGTTTGGGCCTCGGCACTGCTTCCGGAATTCCTCAAAGGTCCGCCACTCGGCGATTCGTCGATTCGACTCGCCGAGTCGCCGAGCCGCCGAGTCGCCGGGGCTCGGATTTGCGTCAGCCGATTTTCGCCACTCGGTGCCTCTAGCGAGAGATGAATTCGCATGCAGAATAGCTTTAGCCAGGCTTGGATGATTCCTGTGCTCGGGTCAGCCTCCGGAGCATGGAGGCGGGTGCTGGAAAAGTTGGCTTTTGTCATGCTGGGCGCCTGGGCCCTTCTCGGAAAAGGTGGTGAACGGCATCCATTTGAGAAGAGAATCTTCCGAGGATACGCGCATGAGAATGAGCACACTATTGAACCCACAATTGATTTGGCATAGCACTGAGAATTCTGGGAATCATCTAGGGAGTCAACAAACACGGCCCAGCACTCTAAGAGAAACACGTAAACGTTGCCTCTACGTACAGCCCTCTGGCGAATTCCCACCAGGAACCTTTCCCAGTACCCTCCCCCGACTGTCCTCTAGATCAACGCCTCTGAGGCAACAAGACCGAATTGAAGCAAATCAAGTTGGCTTCCATGTGGGGGTTGATCAAAGAAGCTCCGGTAAACATGGGATGAGCATTGCTTGGAATCCCACCGAAAAGATGGACGATGTTTCAGCCACATGGGAAAAGTGACCAATGGTCATTCGGGAGCTGAGGGGAATATTGATCAACCCCTATGTTCTTGGGGAGCCTGTGGTGGATGCGTGAAGCTTTTTGACATTTTGCAGCACCTTTGGCTGCGAGTCAATTTATAAGGTCCGGAACAGGGTCCGGAACCCACATGCGATCCAGACCTCCGTTCCAGACCTCCGTTCCAGACCTTGCCTAGAAACATGATCCAGACCTTCCGTTCCAGACCTTGTTTATATATTTATGTCTAGTTTAGAGTATTTACGGTAAGGTGATTTGGTAGGTTATTGACTCCCCCCTTTGTTTTGCCAAATGCTACGCGTTAAGGCTGGTGTTCGAGAGAAGCCTGAGGTGCTAACGATGGGTTTTGCTTGTCGAGCTTTGGTGGTTGGGGCTGCGTGGCTTGTAATCATTGGGACTTGGATGGAATTAAGCAGCGGTCCTGTTGACAGATGTGTTTTTGGAACGGCCTGTGAATGTTAAGGGTCAACCCCGCCGCAATCTGCTCGATACGATACGGTAACGGTTCGATACCGCTCTCGGTCGTCACATTGTTGAAACGACCATGTTTACATGCAGCTTGCTACCAAGTGCAAGCCACTCGCGACTCGCGTAACCGTTCCAGACCCCGTTCCAGACCCGTTCCAGACGTGTTCCAGACGCAGCGGAGCAATTTGCCACCAAGTCCACATGCACAGTAGCTACGCTTCTTACGCGGCCCGCCATGCCGCCGAAGAAGCCTTCAAGGAGGTGCCGTATCGTACGGCCGCGCGCCCCTGATCGCTTCATCCATCCATCTACCCATTCATTCATTCATCCATCCATCTATCCATCTTACACTAAATGAACGTGTGCTTGAGGACTCCACACATGTCTTCCCAGAGGTCCGGAACAGCCAGCCTTACGTAACTGACTCGTTCCAGACGTCCGCGTCACCGCGGAACGTTCCACGCCAGAATATTGACCCACACCCATTTCTTCGACACCATGGCCATACTGGTTGGGTTCGGCTTCAGCGCTTTTTGGACCAAGGCGATAATCGCGGATTTCTGGAGCAGAGCTCCCCCCAACAAACCTTGAGCATGAGTTAAGCAAGATCTAGAGATTTTGGAGTCACGATTTCGGTTCTCATGTACAGTGGTAGTTCTTCATTTGTTTCTTTTTCCGCCTCCCTTGTTCTATCCCGGGATCGTATCCTCCCAGCCATCGGAGCCATCAGCCATCGCCCGGAGGCCTTCCAACACTTCGGGGAGTCCCTGGAGCGGGAGGACCTGGAGCCCTTCGTGCAGCCGCTCATGGAGAAGCTGGCCTCGAAGATGCAGTGCGGCAACGTGAAGGTGCAGAAGAAGGCCAGGTCCGGCGTGCTGAGGCAACCTCTGACGTTTTTTTGTTTGTTTGCGGGGATTTGGAAAAACAGCATATTTTTGGAAGGCACATATTGTCGTGTTGGGGTTTTTTGGCCGGCCGCGAGGCTCCTGGGAACAGGATGTTTTCGGATTTTAGCCGGGCTCTATGGAGCTTTGTGAGGGAGTGGGAGAATCTTGCGTTGATGAAGAGTGGAAGAGGCCAAGCAAATGGGTACCAATCGCCAATAGCAACTAGCTAGATTTGCTCCCTTTTGCTTAGGGCATCTGCCGCCTGCTAAGCCTGCCAGGCGATCACCTTCATTGCCGTGATTGCTGGCCAGGCCGAATCAAAGGGCCATCCGCACATGACCACAAGTGGCCCTGCCAAGACATGGCTGCCCCAGTCAATGTTTGGCAGGTGACCGCTCACATGTTTGGCACAGGTTGATGATGCCTTTGCGCCCTACTACGGACACCTGATGCCGGTCCTAAAGCAGGCAGGGTGCGCTGTTTGTATTTGCAAGCCATTGCCATGCCGCATGCTGAGAGTCAGCAAAGATTGGAAGCACGATTGTCCCAAGGGGTCCACGACAAGCTGATGCGTTTGCAAAGGCTGCGCAGACTTGTGCAGTTCCTTGGCAGGTCATCCAGAATACGCTGCACAAGACTGAGGACGACGGTTTATGGTGATGTCATATCGTATTTCTCACAAAATATTAGGCTTATGTCTAAGTTCGACTGAAGGTGTTGACAGACACGTAGCCACTGTACGACCTGCGGCTGCTGTCAAGCAGAGTTCCAGTTTCACCAGTTGTAAGAAGGCAAGCACATCTCTTTTGTTTGTTCAATGTCCTGGCTGACCAAACTATGTGTGTTTGAAATGACAAGGCTTGACCGTCTGGCACTTGTTGGGGGTTATCGAGGGCTTTCCTGGAAAGTTGACATGCAGCAGCACGAAGCCTCCCGCCGGAAATGGAAGAAACAACTGCATCTTTTTGACCAAGTGAAGTGAGCCCTCGTTTTAGCCTTTTGCACAAGATACTGCTCGAGGATGGCGCACACCTGTATCAGAATCCAGGTTGCTTTCTGCTTCGAGAGCAGTTAAATGGGATCCTATGGGTGGTTTCCATTTTTATAAACCTCCATTTGGGGGTTGATCAAAAGGTCCTTTACATGGGATGACCATTGGGGGAATCCACTAAAACGTGATATTTTCCACTACATGTGAAAAGGTACCCATGGTCATTTGGGGGCCGAACGGAATATTGATCGATTGTGAGTTCTGTCACTACTCCCTGCGCGCAGGAGCGGCAGCTTCTTGGCAAGTGCTTCGAATGCATCTCGCTGCTGGCGCGGGCGGGGCTCTCAGATCTCAGATGCGACTATTGTGTCGAGTTGGTTCAACAGGTTCCACAGGAGCACTTTGCACGCAAGACACGGACTTCGTACTATGAGATTTGTTGTGTCTGCCTCAAAACGCAAGTGGTCGCAGCAAGCCATTCCACGAAAAGGAGCATGTGTGCGTTTTGTACTGCTCCAGCAGCAGGACACATGATGCAAAAGTCGGGCCTTTGCTTGTAAGAAGCTTTTTCTAATGGGAGGCTAGGAGCATAGGAGGGGATCAAGTATCATCAAATTGTGCAGCGCATTTCAGCACATGCAAAGCGGTGCGAAAGGCAATGTTGACCCAGAAACCCTGGTTGACGAACAGGGGGTTGGTTGCCCAATGTTACAGGGGATTCTTGACTTTTTTGGGTGTTGATTCCGGCTATGTCTCTGCCAGGTGGATTAATCCGGGGTGAGCACATTCCTCTTCTTTGGTCTGATGTTCTCTTGGGTCAGTCTTTTAAGTTCAAGGCCGTGGGCCCCGCTGGTTTCCGGGCCGACGCAGAGCAGATCATGCAGGCGAGGAGAAGCTGATTTGTGCCCCATCTTTAGGCGATTTTGGCCTGGAACCTTGGTTTGGCCCTCAAAAAGAAGATTCCTCGAAGGAAGGTTTCTTGTCCTGTTCATCTGCAGTGGGGACTCCGCCGAGCAAATGCCCCCGCTTTCCTTTGGTTTCCTCCAAGAGCAACAAAATGGTTCCACATGATGACACTGAATCTGACCGATCCCCTTTCTGCCAAGCCCGTCCCACATCCCGCCGGAATTCTCCAGTTTGACACATCTTCAATGGGATGCAAGCACGCGGCCAAGGCAACGCATTTTTGTTTGACAGGCTTCAGTCGCGTGCCTCTCTCACTCCGAGAGTGGACCTTACATTGGTCACTGCAATTAGTGAGATTAGCTTCCTGGAAAGCGCCTGACTACTCGAGTTGATCCGGATGAATATATATATATATATATATATATTATATCGCCCTTAAGGCCTCGAAGGAATCCACCTGACCATCGTATCCACCTGCCGGAATCGCCTGCAGCCTCGGCACTCAGGTGCGTGCCAAGGCTGCTTCGCCCAAGTAACATGCTTGGCCGTGCGAGGCGATGATTGAGGCCACGAAGGTGCCCAACTTGCCCAACAACGATCCGGTCAAGGAGCCTTCGCGCTCGCGCATGTGGCTGCACTGGGTTGCGGCTGGCGCTGTGGCAGAATTTGAAGCGAAAGCGGGGAAGAGGAGGGACAACGTCGATTTCGTTCGTGCCGAAGTCGACAGAATCTATGGCGTTTGTAAATGGATGTGTGTTCCATTGAGAGGTCTCATTCACAGACTACTCACGGTTGATTGAGTCCGGCCCTGTTTGGAGGGTCACATACCTCGCAGGAGTACATGATGGCAGCTTCTGAGCGAATTTGCGTGGCCGGCTTAGGCTGCTGGTTCCACCGCTGAGCACTCCTGCCAGTGGCTGGCCAGCGTTCTGTGACTTAGGCAACCATGAAGCAGGACTTCCTTCCCTTCGTTGGTCACATTCTGTCGGCTCCTGAAGGAACGAATCAGTCGCACCGCTGCAAACGCGCTTGCCGGATGTCAGGGAACGATTGTCTCGACCGCCCCTGTTTTTGAACTTTGGCCGCCCCATCACCTCAAGCGTGGATCTACATTCCATGCGGGTAGGAGGATACTAAATCGATACGATCTGCCATTCCCGGTTCGCCATTCCCGCTTTGAGGGCGTCTAGGGCCGTGGGCTGAGGCCGTCTACCCATGTTACCTAACTGGCTCTCCGCAGCTTTAGGTTCTGAGGTGACCGAGTCAACCGCCTGCCATGAGCGACTACCTGTCCACGGGAGGTGTCCGGTCGCCGGAGATCTTAGTGAACGCGCCTAGGAGCGGGGCGACGCCGGTCTCCAAGGACGAGCTGTTCTTGGCTGCTGGGCTGAACATTTAAAGGCCATGCCCTGTGAGTAGCTGGTCTTTCGTCTTTTCTTTGGGGAGGACATGAGGGACCCGCCCAATTTTTGCCACAACATCTAATTTGGGTCACCCAATTTTTCCAATGTCCTCCTTGGAAGCCAGCGATTTTGTTCGGGGCTCATGTGCTAGACGGTTTTTTTTCCCTGAAGAGCTGGGCGGTGCGAGAGTTCCGATATGTCAGTGAGGGGTTTTGGCTCAGCCTTGAGGAAGGCTATGGCCGGCAGTTTGGTGAAAAGATGACCTACAGCGTGGGCATGACCTATGGCGGGGGCCTCTTGACTGGGGGTTTCTACGGGGGCCTGCTGGGAATTAGACAAGGAGGGGCTACTCCCAAGCTCTTCGTGAACTCCGTGCTGAACTCCTGCAGCCGATACGGCCCCGCGTTGGCCAACCAGTCGGCCATCATTACCATGCCCTTTGGATCAAATTGCGAGTGGGTACTCAAAGGGGCATTGTACTTAGCAAGGGAACCATGGTTACAACCCACAGCCATGGTCATAAGTCTCCATCCCCTTTGGACCATCTGGTGCTCTTGGTGCGCGCGTCCGTTGAGGTACTACGTGGCCTTCAACGGGCTCATCACCACCGTGCGAGGTTCCGACGACCCGGCCAACGCTGCGGGGGCTGGGGCCTTTGCTGGCGCGCTCTACAAGGCGGGCTTGGGCCTTTCCTTTTTTTGGAGCTGGCGCCCTTTTTTAATATTTATTTATTTATTTATTTATTTATTTATTTATCTTTAAAAGAAAATACACCAGCATAGACCCCAGATAGCACACCACGGCTACGAACCATGACGCAGCATCGTAATGGTTCCCGCGGCATGATGATGCTGTTGACACATCTTGATGATGTTGACAGCATCATGAAAATACCACAGCTGCGCAGCATAGTGCGCTAAATAGACGCGCAGACAACGTCCTAGTGAGTCCACCAGCAAAACAATGATGTTGACAGGATGATGCTGATACACCAGCCACAAACGATTGCGCGCAACATATCTAGCCAAAAAAGGCAGAGACAACGTCCTGATGAGTTCGACAGCATCATGATGATGCGGGCAGCATCATGATGATGCGGGCAGCATCATGATGATGCTCACGGCATCATGGTGATGGCAAAGGCAGCATCTTGATCATACCACAGCCACGAATCATCTTGCGACAGCGTAATGAAATTCAGCATCATGCTGATGTTGACAGCACTATGCCCGCCACCACACCCACGAACCATAACGCGGCATCGCAGCGAGCGGTTGACAACATCATGATGATGCACCAGCCACGAACCATTACGCGCGACAGTTAGAGCAGCAACAACGTCCGAATCGGTTCAACAGCATCATGGTGCTGCTGACAGCATCATGATGCTGCGGCCAGCATCATGATGATGCGACAACCACGATACCCCAAACAGCACCCGCCCTAGCACCCTGCCATCCATATGCGCCCGCACCATCACCAACACCCGAAAACAGCGGCCCCAATAGCACCCCAACGCAGCACCCGCACCAGCACCGGACACGTCCCCGAGCACCCTGCCGTCACGTACTGTCACCAGCACCTGAACCGAACAGCACCCAAAACCGCACCTGCGCCAGCACCCCAAAGTGCATGCCCCCTAGCGAAGTCTATGGTTTCCAGTTATCTGGGAAATAAGCCCACGCGGTCAGCTGCACCTCCAACAGCAACGCAAAACAGCACCTGCACCACCACCCCAAACTGCATGCCCCCTAGCACCCGCCGGCAATCTCCGAAAATTGCGCCCACAACGTCAGCAGCACCTCAAGCAGCACCCCAAACAGTCCCCCAAAACAGCTGCATCAGCTCCCCAAACTGCATGCGGCCATCAATCTTGCAAGAATGCGCCTGCACCATCACCAGCACCTCAAACAGCACCCCAAACTGAGTGCCCCCCCGCTCTCCATCAGCGCCTTAAACAGCACAGCCACCAGCACCTTAATCAGCACCGCAAACTGCATGCCCCCTAGCACCCGGCCGTGAGTTTCGCAAAGCGGCACCTCCACCAGCACCCAAAACTGCATGCCCCCTAGCACCCGGCCGTCAATCTCGCACCTCCACCAACACTCCAAACTACATGCCCCCTATCTCGCAAAGCGGCGCCTCCACCAGCACCCGAAACTGCATGCCGCCTCGCACGGGGCCGTCAATCTCGCAAAACAGCACCTCCACCAGCACTCCAAACTGCATGCCCCCCATCTCGCAAAGCGGCACCTCCACCAGCACCCGAAACTGCATGACTCCTAGCGCCCGGCCGTCAATCTCGCAAAACAGGACCTCCACCAACACTCCAAACTACATGCCCCCTATCTCGCAAAGCGGCACCTCCACCAGCGCCTGAAACTGCATGCCCCCTAGCAACCCGCCGTCAATCTCGCAAAACAGCACCTCCACCAGCACTCCAAACTTCATGCCCCCTAGCACCCGGCCGTCAATCTCGCAAAGCGGCACCTCCACCAGCACTGCAAACTGCATGCCCCCTAGCACCCGGCCGTCAAGCTCGCAAAGCAGCACCTCCACCAGCACCCCAAACTGCATGCCCCAGCACCCGGCCCTCAATCTCGCAAATCACTTTCCCTTTTTTATTAGAAGGTAGAACCCCTATAGCTTTCAGCTATCTGGGGAATAAAAAAAAGAAGAAGTTTTTTTCAGGGGAGACCAAAAGGAAGCATCCATCCATTTCTGGGGTCTCCAGGTCGCCAGCAGATCTTGGGAGTCTGTGGGGAAGTACTCCGCGGCCAGCTGCGCCATCTTCACAGGCATCGACTTTCTCATGCGCAGCGGCCGGTTCTGAGCGGTCGATTCCCCGGTTTTGTGTTCGAACGTGTCACGGAAAGCCTTCAGAGGCATGTCTGGCTGCGGACTCCCGCAATGGGACCAAAGGCCGCCAATTTCAGGTGCCCAAAATCCTGTGCGCCCCAAACGCGCCTGTAGCAGCAGGACGGCTGGAAAAAGAGTCGGATGCATGTTGGCCATGCTGCATTTGAGTCGTTTGCAAGGTCTCGGCATGGAGCTCGCAACATTTGCTTGCAGTTTTCCACTGGCTGTGGCCTTTGTATTTCTGTCTTAGGCCAGGAGTGCTGGAGAAGTTCAGCCTTGCTCCGCGGGAGCGGGATGAAAGAGAAATGGCCTGGACATGAAGCCCCAGGAAAAGAGATGTCCACCCGATTTCGGGTTGCACAATTGCCGCTTGAGCGTGAGATCGCATATCAGTGCCGCAGAAAGCCAGAAACCGAAGACTGGTCCTTCCGAGCTGGGAGTCGGAGTGAGGTTCAATCAAGCGCAAGGCATTCTTGTGCTCCGATTGAGATGTCCACCCTGAATATAGCCAGTGGGTCAAACATACTCCAGTCGGTCGAGCTTCAGACTCATGAGCCAATCATGATGCATTGCCAGCAGACCACACTGACCATCCGCCCGATTGACTTCTCAGGAGTTCAGTGGTGGTGATGAGTTTGACGACAATGATGAGGTCAACCTGCTGATGCCTCAGCATGCTAGCGCCCGTTGCCAGCCAGTTGGTGTTTGATGACAAGTACTAGATGGTTAGCAAAGGTTTGTGACTGCTCCCAAAGTGGAGGATTTAGGAACTGATCTCTGGATTGTATGCGTATTCCACAGCCTCAGTCGCTGAGGACGCTGATGAAGGACAACGGGCAGGCGAGCTACTGTTTGGCCAGTTTGGCCCAAGGGTGTGAGGTTTGCATCAGAAGTGAAGTGCTCGGACAGGTGAAGGTGATGATCATGTACTCCTCAGAAATTCAGGACCGCTGGTTGTCAGAACCGGGCACGTGCCGCTGGCGGATTTTTGGCGCTGCCAGCTTCGAAGGATCTGAAAGGAGCCTTGGAGTGCGTGCACACGCCAAGCTCTGAGACATTTGGCTGTGGTTGTCAAAACCGTTTTGGGATCCCATTTTGGTTGGTAGGTGAATTCACCACCCATTTTAGGCTTCCTATTTTAGTGGTTGGATTGAATCGGATGTTCACGGGGGGGTTATGGGGGCTTTTGACCAATGGCCATTTGCTGACCAACCTGACCATCACTAGCCGATGCGCCATCAAGCAGATAACTTGCTCAGGTTCGTGGAGGAGCTGGCAGCCAGCTATGCGCCTTTCGTGGCGCAGACTGCCCAGGCTTCGAACTCGCGCTTCGCCTTGCCCGCTTGGCTTTCAGATCTGGGGGAGAGAAAAATGCCGAAGATCTTTGGAGTAAAGCTTCTGTAAGTATGTTGTTTAGATTGGATCGTTTTCCCCTTAAAGGTGATCTTCGGGAGGGGAGGCTTGTTGTTTGAGAGGAAGGCACGCAATGCCGTGGCTCCAGGCGCTGCTTCCCGTCTTCGACTTCTGCATGGAGGACGGCAGAAGAGGGCCTCCCACCCATCAAATTAGCTGATGCGACACCCCTGCTTGGTTTCAATTGAACTTGCAGCACGGTTGGCAGTTGGCGCAATGGGCTTTCATCATACCTCATGTTGCGATGATTAAGTTCACCCCCAACCACAGGTCATGGTTGCAAGATGGCTGGAAGACATGGCGTGGCAAGATGGCTGCAAGACATGGCAATATATGGCAAGATGTGGCAAGATGACATATGGCTGCTAGTACCAATGGCGTCAGTTTCGTGAAAGGCATCCCTTGAAGAAACCGGAGATCGCTTCTCAGGTCCAAAGGATATGGACTGCTTCCAAGCGACAGACGGTATCCGGCGGTTAGAGGGTATGGTTGCGTGAAGAGAGGACCCGATTTCTCAAAACGTAAACTCTCAGCCCCACTGGCGCCGCACTGGCGGTGTTCCTTTGCAGAAAATGGACCTTAAACTGATCCCCAACACGGGTGCCTGTGGGCGTGGATGAAACCATGCTGGCCATGGTGGATTCAGCCCCAAAACGGGTGCCCGTGCCGGAGGAAAAGACCATGTTGGTCATGGTGGACTCACCCCCCCTTTTGCGGCAGGCTTGCTGAGCCAAACGGGTGCGCAGGTTTGTTTCTGCCACACACACAGCGCTGCTGCCTGGCACAATGGAGCTTTTCTGAGCCTTTGCGAGCGCCGGCTATCGTCCGACTGCAGGGGTGACCATGCCTTTGTAGCCATGGACGGCGAAGAAGTGCTCCCAGTCTTTCACTGGTATCTCCTCGCTGTCCTTGTCCGGAACCAGTCGCTTCGGAGTGGCAGCGAGTTCTGGCGAGTCGAGCGCGAAAATTGGCCTTGCGCGTGCCAGGGCATGAGGCGAATCTGTCTATCACTGAGCCAAAATTATCCGATTCATTGAACATGGCGCAGTCTGACGTCTACACCGGCTTCCAACTACACGCAGGACAAGCGACAACAAGCTCCGGCTCAACAATATTCCAGTCAAGTCAGATGTTGGTTGTTGTTGTATGGGCCGGCAGCAACCGTTTGTGGTCTCAATTCTAATCGCTGCTCGCTGCCTGCCTCGGCCAGGCTCAAAAGAGCTACACGAGCAATGCGGGCTTGAGCAAATGCTTCCGGGGCTGGGCTGAGCAGTCTTGCGGGCTGCGTCTTAAAGTGATTGCCAGGAACTTGAACTCGAGCAGCAGGGGCCGGCCAGCGAAGTGGCGGAAATGAGCTGGACGGATGGCGGGCTCAGGAACTAGTCACTGGCTTGAGCTGGCCGCTTGGTGTTTGGCGACAAATGGTCTTTCTTGTCTCCTTGAAAAATGATACAGTAGTTGAGATAACTTGAGATAGTACTTACCGCTCGCCGACGCCACTTTCACTCACACTGAAGGACGGGATCCGAGATCTGGCCTTCGAAACCTGGGGCCAGCTTTGCCGTAGCGCGCGCGAGGGCGGCCAGGCGGGGACGGGCATTTCTCTGATGCAAGTAATGGGTATCGTCGCCCAATCTGGGCAAATTGCAATAGTTTACACACCGGAAACGAGGAAACCCCCCACCGCTTCCCCTGGAGAGGTCGTTGTGCAACCTCTCTTTGCTCGGAATGGTGCACAAGGAACTTGGATTAGCCAAGAAGAGCACGAGTGTCAGCCACTTGTTTCTATTTGCCTGCAATGTGCGAGGTGCAGATTGTCAGCCAGCTGGTTATGGAGTTCCTGAAGCGTGTGCTGCCAAAGTTTGAGGCTGAAAAGGTGCCACCGCCCAGGAAGCGAGTGAAAGGAGGGCAGGGAGTCAAAGTACATTGGCCTTTGATTGGCTCAAGAGTATCCACGGGTCGTGTTGTATAGTGACAAGGCTTCGCTCCCGAAGGTTGTTGGGAACTCGTGATCCCATTTCGCCCGGGCAATGAAATGTTTTGTTTTTCGTGATCAACCACTCTGGGTGACCCGCAACCCTATGGCTTTGGAACACCTTGGTGCAGATCACAGTCACCGCATCGCGGCTTGAGCTTGGCCTTGGGCCTGCCTGATGCGGTGATCAAGGTATTCGGGGCAAAACAGTTGCCGGCTGGCCATAAACTGAAGCCTTTGTGTGAGAGCGTCACCGAAGCGTAGCGGAATGCCAAGGTGAACGTGCCGGAGTTGAAGACGAGCGCCGAGGGCGTTACAGCCTGCCTCAAGTGCCCAGGGCTCGCTTGTCTCATTCACTCTTCGCTCCCTGAGACTTTGCTTGGGATTTCGAAAAGAAATCTAAGAGGTGATCCTGATTCTGGCACTCTAGATAGTGCGCGTCTGAAAATGATGCTGCTCTTCTTTGGCAAGTTGGTTCGCAAATCTGTGGGAGGAGCTGACACCGGATGTGTTGCACCGAGCATGAGCACGAGGTGGCGCAACATGCTTGGATGTTTATTTGTAGGACAAGCCATCATAGGTGCGAGGCAAAAGCCAGTGAGTATGAGTCATGGTGAGCCACTGCTCAGATGGTGTGCAGTTTGCTATCCGTATCCTGCATTGGGACCGTGCTGGGATTCCAGTACCCCGTTTCAATACTTTGACCTTCCAAACCTCGAAGGTTTGGGGTGAGAACTTGGAGTGGCTACAGGACTCCCAACAAAACAAGTTGAGGTTGTCAAGTTGTCAAGCATGGCCTGAACTGCAGCAAATGGCAGGGAAGCTGGGCCCGGCATTCTTCAACAAGAGCAGTTGCGGCATATTTGCCCGGGACCTGATGACCTGGAGTCACATTGGTTCCTATGACTTGGCGTGGCCAGGGTCATGGTGACAGGAAGATCATCTCAAGCATCAATTCTTTGGCTCCCATCCCCGTCCTATTGTGGGGGTTGATCAAAAGGTCCGGTAAACATGGAAAACACCGCTAGGGAAACCACCAAAACAGATGAGTTTCACCACTTGTCATGGGACAAGTTACCCATGGCTCAAAATGGGCAGTGAAGGAAAGCTCTGATCAACCCGCGATGTCTCAAAATGGTGACCATCCAACAGGTGGTTTGAACCAAACACTTCCACTCGCCGTCGGATGGTTTTCGCCGGTGGCCAACGTGAGGCAAAACGACCCTGGCAGTCATGGCGGAGTCCTTCCAACGACGAGACGCCGCGGCCAAGGGCAAGCCGCCTGGGGTCGACGAGGCGCGGGGAGGTTTCTGTCCGCCTCGGGCTTGCAGCGCCAGGCGCCAGGGGTTATTTTGAGATGTGAAAGCAGGGAGGGAATTGTAGTGCCATTCCTGGCTGATGGTTTTATGGCACTTTTCGAGCCATGCCAGATGTCAGCTGCCAACAAATGCTTGCAAAACCTTGGGTGCAACTATGAGGGATTTGAGGCCACTGACCTCACTATGGAGGGACATGCATCGCAAACAAAATGCAGAGGGCAGGTATCCTGGCTCATCATCAGCTCGGCATCTTTGGCATGAGGATGCCACAGACCTTGTTTAGGACGGCGATGAGCACGATGATGACGAGGAGGAGGATGAGCAGGCGGCAAAGAATGGCCAACTCTGAGTCCGTTGGTCGTCCTTTTGTGTTTTCTTTGGGCCTGAGAGAAACCATGGCGACTGAACACCTTGGAGCCCGCTTCATACAAACCTTTGGCGGCACGCTCGTTTTCATCTTCGGGCCATGGAGAGGCCATGAGGATAGCCTTGTGCGAAGTGGCCGGCTCGCTCATGCAGCGAGGCACTCAGCTGGCCAAGCACGCCACACAGAAAGCCAGTAGAAACAGATCTGCTGAGTCCACTGGGGCGGGGGCATTGCACCGAGGCATCACGCGGACATGTTCATTGCTGAGAGCTTCTCCACCTACCTGAACTTAGTCGCCCTGGCTTGCAGCTTGCTTGGAGCTGTGCAGTGCCACTACCCCTAGCTGCACTTCTTCAACGTCAAATTGACATCTGCCAGGTGAATGTTTTGCATGGCCCATCATGCTTGTGGAAGGGAGCAACGGGGGGAGCAAAGTTTTGGTTTAGTTTCGGCATGCACGCGGGCGAAGGCACGTGGCTAGGGCAATTAGAGCCTTCCAGGAGCGTCAATTGCTCCATATGCCAGGTGGAAGGGATCATGTTGATATGGGGTTTGCTTGAACATAGGGGAAAGGGGCACACCATGACTTTCCCTTCAATTTCCCTTCAAGATCTGCCCCTTCGCCTCAAACAGTCCTCCTGCCAGGTGGTGCAGTGGCTTCAGCCGAACATGCCCAAGGAGGACCGGAAGCTGGCGCTGTCGGGGCCCAAGGGGGCTCCAAACCGATGGAAGTTTTTAAGACGAACGCAAACCCAGACAGTCATTGGCTTTCCGCCCGAAAAGGAAAGAACGATTTTCCCCACAAAAACATTGCTTCCTTTTGATCCACTCGGTCTCTTGGGGACAGATTGGGCGGTCGCCAATCGCCGCTGGAAAAGCGCCAACGCCGTCCGTGCGAACCGCTCGCGCGCTCGCGCCAGCTTCGTGATGTGCGACTTCTTGGAGCACCTGGGGCAGCGAGTCGGCCTCTCAGGGCTGGCTTGAGGAGGCAAAATTACACCACCAGGATCTGGACTGGAATTTTGATCAACTGGTTACCAACATTTTCTGGGTTCCATGTTCGGGTACCTATTTTTGACCACAGGCACATTGGGGGGCCTTGCATTCGAGAGCGGATGAAGGGAATATTTTTGTTCCCGTGTCCACAGTTGGACTGGCGAGATCGCACACGCACCGCCAAGCAAAAGTTGGGGGGGGGGGGGGGAATGTTCGAGTTCATTCGCTTGGAACCCGGTTTCCAATGAGCAAGACCAACTCTACATGGCTGGTGGACATAGATCCCCATGTCAATGATGTGCAAAGGGTTCCCAATCACATCCGCCCAGGATAGACTGACCATACTTGAAGGACGGCCAAACTAAAGTTTTCTGCAGCAAGAAACACATGTGGTTCAACTGTACCTGTGGCTTTGGGCGTTCCGTGACGCTTTGAACGCTGGCTTGCCCAGTTCAGGTGACCTCGCAGTGGCCACAATTTGTGCCGAAGCTGCTTGAGGACCTGGATAAACAAAGGCAACCACAGCTGTTCTGCGCTTTATGTTGACCAATGGTCCGGCCAGGCTTGGCATTTAAAACATGAGTGTCCTTGAGAGTGTTCGGCCTATGGGTCAGCGCCGGGCAGAACATAGATTGCCTTCATTGAGTCAAGCCTTTGGTTCTCTAGACGGCATGGAGAGGATCTCCATAATCCGGATCCTGATCTGAGACAGCCTGCGCCAGGGGCTTGTCAGTGTGCACAGACTGCTCGGGCTGTGGCAGGGATGGGGCTTGCTTAGCTCGTCATCAAAATATCGAGTGAGGTGCTACGCGGTGTACTTGGCTGCCAAGATACCTGCGCCCCAGCTGAGTTCGTGCTTGATGCGGTTTGAATGGCTGATAGGCGTAGATGCTACAGGACCTTCCCAATTTGCCAATGACGTGCTTGAAAGATTCAGTGGAGCACCTTTGGACAAAAACGGAGCGATTTATGCCTGCAATGTTTTGGCATTGTTCCAAATGTTCCAATGAACAGTCATTCATGGCTGGGGAGGGTTGGGGGGGGGGAGGGAGACCAACATATGCCCTTAACAAGGCCTTATTCAGGCTTATTTGGCCCCTCCCTCGCAAGGCATGAGTCATAGCCACTTCAGATCGCTCGATTCATGGCACCTCAGGAGTTTGCCCCCTTGGCGCTGGATGCCGCCAACAAGCTCTGTCAGGTGCTTCGATGAGCCCTCGATGTCGCAAACCAAAACGCCGTGGTTGCCACTTGCTCAAAACCTGGGTTGAAGTTTAGTAAGGGATACTCCCAACCAATAATTTCACCGGGTTTTGATGATGACTCACGTGGCATCCAAATTTTGAGAGCGGTCTCCCGAAGCGGGACCGGGTGACACCATGACCTGAGGGCTGGTGGACCCCACCTGTGGGAATTTCACCCAGGGTTCCATCTCTAAAATGGCTGTGGGTCAAAACCAATGGGATCCCATTTGGGGTAGGTGCACCACCCATTTTAGTCCATTTTAGTGGTTGGATTGGAATGTTCACTGGGGGTACGATTCGGCTTTGGCTTTTGAAAAGCCCATGGCATGGGAACAGAAGGACTCTTGACCGCAGATGTTGCCAGGTTGTCACGCAGTCTCGGCAGAGAAGTAAGAAGAAGTCTGAGAAGATTGCGCAGGCCGCGGAACCCAGGGCACCCCGGGCACCCAAGCGCTCCGCAGGGCAGCGGAGCGCGAGCGCTAGGTGAACCACTTAAAAGGAGATAAAGACTTCGCTTCAGCGCCCAAATGACCATGGGTCACTTTTCCCATGGGGTTGAACTATCAAATCATTTTAGTGGCTTTCACCAATGAAATCATCCCATGTTTACTGGACCTTTTGATCAACCCCCATATACCCGCAAAATGGTGTTCTTTGGCCTGCCCTTGGCCTTGCGTTTGCCGCTTGGCCCTGCCGAAATCACATCCAAACTCATCACGTCCTCCCTGTCCATTTCGCTGTGGGTCAAAAATAGGGTGACCCCAAAACGGAACCCTGGCAAATAGAACCGATGACCAAAACCTGCGGTCCCCTGGTCGTTTAATTTTGACCCATACCCATTTTCATCATTCTTAGGACCTTGGATCACATCGCCACCCGCCTTTGCAAGCCGCTGGAGTGAATGGAATGAATGTATAGACAGGTACGAAGTTTACACGCGTGCGTATCAGCATCTTGTCACACACTGGGGGGGAGCTTTGCGATACGTACAGTTCAATACAACAGCTTGGGGCCAGCTCATGCAATGTGACGTTGCTCAAGACCTTTGGGAATGAACTATAGAAGGCATGAGAAACTTCAGGCATGCGCTGACAATGCGCTGTCTGGACTTGCCGGGCGCCATAGAGTCCCATAGATCGAATCAAGGTTGCGCGGAGCTAGAAGATGACCATCCCCGAAGGGTAGAACCATGATTTTGCTTCCTTTGGTTTCCGTGCATGAGGTACCAATCTCCGGTCGCTTTAAAGGGAAGCCAAAAGAACACCACCCATTTTGGAGGTGCCCTATTAGGGTTTGTGTGAGCCCTGTTTTGGTTGGCATTAAAAGGGACACCAGAAGGAACACCGCATGTTTTTGGGGCTCCAACTTAGCAAAAAGACACACACACACACACTCACTTTGACCCCATGTTGCTTGAAATGGATCTGTGCACGCTGAGGGCGAGATTTTGCTGGTGCACCAGCAAGCTGTCATGTCCATGCAGGCCCGATGGCTTTGGGAGTGACTTTTTTTTTGCCCCGCTTTTGTTTTCTCAAAATGGCTGTGGCTCAAAAACATGGTACCCAACAATTGGTAAATGGAGCCAATGACTACAACTTGCCCTAGCTCTTTACTTCTGAGCCACACTCAAATAAGAGACAGACTCCATAAGAAGTTGTCGTGCTTCTGGTTTGTCATTTGAATCATCATTCAACTTCACGTTATGAGAATTACCCTTGTTCTTACGCGGTGTCATGAACTTTGACCTTGTTGGCAATCAATGAATTCAAGCAGTCTCGCTAAAGCTGGCGCAGCCTTGCCATCTGCTTTCTTGACTCAAACCGTCCTGGCATTCGGGAGAGGGACTGGGTAAGAGCGGAGGCATGGGATGGGTGACAAACTGTGGGCTGCTGTATGGGCCATCCTGCTATCTGCTTTGAGAGGGATGGATAAGAAGAGGCAAACAACAGTTTTCAATGTTTGCTTCTTCAGCGATGGCCGCGGTCGCCTGAAATTCTTTGATGCGAGGCGCAATTGTGGCAAGTCTGGGTGGGAGGACTGCGGCCGACTTAGTTTTTCTATATATACACACGTCTTTTTTGAGGGTACCTTTTTTTTTGGCTTTAAAGGGACGCCAACAGAAACTACGCTTGTTTGAGGGTACCCTCAAAGACAGACCATGTGGCCTGAATTGGTTTGGACAAAACTGTTTCGCCGAGGCCTTGCCGGGAGGATGACTCCGAGGGGGTGAGGAATCACCGCAGACTGCTGGAGTTTATCCAGCAGGAGTGTTCTTCCTTTGAGCGCTTTGCTGTGGAGAGCTCAAGGTTTGAACCCCAGCTAAGCCAAATGAGCTCTTGGTACCACCCAAGGTCCAAACCACCAAACCACCAACTACATAACCCTTCGTTGGTGGTTTGGATTGGTTGGATTTGGATTTGAACTCCTGGTTCTTGTTGAGGAGAACTGGGAAACCACACCTCAATCACCAAACCACCAATTCAACAGGGGGAAGCCGAATGTTTCCCAATTGAAACAGCTGAACCGCTGCAAGCTGCCTTCCGGATTTGTGCCTTTTTGGGCTGTGCAACAAAATGCGGGCACTTATAATTGGATGATACGGTTGCGCTGGCACAGGCTCCAGGGTTTAGGCGCATAGAGATGCGGCATTTCCTCATCTCCCTGTGCTCAGTTTGCACAGGAGAAGAAGGAAGTGGTCGGAGAGGGAGGCTGGCACAGTACTTGCTCAGGAGAGCTGAAGATTTCTTCTCAGGTTGGTAGCATTTGCATAGCTCAGGCATATGGACTTGATGGTGCCTCGCACTGCCCTCTTTGGAACCGAAAGTTGTGCCGACCCATGTGCCAGGCCAGAATGTTCCAAAGCTTTTTGGCGTCCTCGTGGACGTGTACAAAACCGACATGGCCGATGAGGATGCCCGGCTCGACGGCAGGAATCAGTACCCATTCGCAGCTCTTCCCATTCGGTGGACCCTTTAAACAGGTGTCAGGTTGTTTTTGGTGCCATCTCCACGAGTTATTTTGTTGCACATGGTCAGGATCAGGCATGTTTCTGTTTCAGGTCGGGGGGGGGTGTTTCTTGTTTTGCGTTGCTTCGACACTCGCTTGCGCAAACATACGCTTGCTGCACTCATGGTCCCCTATTCGTACCCAAACTTGCCCCCCTTCTTCGTGTTCCATTTCAGTGCTGGGCTATTCTTGTATCGGAGCACACTTTTGATAATACGTATGTAGGTATACACATATATACAAGCAGGTTTCTTGAGATCCCCACCCTCAAGGGGGATTTTGGTGTCCGCTCCTTTGGCTGCACCCAGGTGACCTTGGGACAGGGTGGGCTGGCGGGGGAAGTTGTTGGCTTTGGCTGGTGGCGGGGGGAAATGACGTCCACTCGAATTGCGTGCAGTGAGAAATTGTTGGCTTGCGTAATGTTACTGTCCACCTCACTAGAACCCTTCCGCCCTCCCGTGAGAAACTTCCGGATCCCAGGTTCCTGACACGGCGGTTCATCAGCACCTTCGCCCGAATTCTGTAGTTTTTCCCGGCTGAGCCAGATTGTGCAACTGTGGAGCGGTGTCTAAATGCTGGGATTTGGGTTGTTCAAGTGCGTGGGGGTTTCCAAGTGTGAGGTCAACATCAACGTCTTCTTCCTTCAACTGCGCACGGCATTTACGCAACTGTTGACAGCGAACTCTGTAATTGGCAACCACGAAAACACGAGGTTGAAAGGAATAAACACGCCCCCCTCGCGACGTTGGTTCCTTTTTTTTCCTCCGTAGATATTATTCAATATCATTGGCTGTGTACGGTGCTGTTCGTTTGGGGAGGACTGCGGGAGGGGGGGGACAACCAGAACACAAGGGGGACACCTCCCGATTTTCCCATGCGGGTATGGGTCAAAATTAAGCCACCAGGATTTGGACACAAGTTTTAGTCCATGTTTCCATTCACCGGGGTTTTGACAAAACAGTCATGTCCTCTTTGGGAACTCCCATTGTCCATGAGGGGTGGCTGTACGTAACTCGTTCGGACAACAAATGTGGCCACACCGAGGGTACCGGCGACTCGACCGCTTCGGACCGCTTCGCTTCGTGACTTCGTGAGGAGACCTCCAAGGGCATCGGCGCCTTTGCTCTCCTGCCGCGGGCCAAAGCGCAAGGTTTCAAGATGTGTCCTTTGAGGGATGGTCAAAACCGTGTTGGTATCGATTCCATTTTGGGGTTTGCTCGCACCACCCATTTTAGAACTTTTTGTTTGTGGGCATTGGGATGTTCGCTGGGGGTACGGGCTTTTGACCCATGGCCATTTGTTTCCTAAGTTTTCCGTGTTTCATTCGGGAGGGACATTCGGGGGACTCACTCAATTTCCCCGCGCGAACCAGGGACTCGCGAATACTATTTTGCTGCCTTGAAGGCTCACTCTGTGATCTCCTTCCGTGGCTGACGAGAGGGATGACAAGGTCAGTAAAGTTGCCATCATCTGCCGTAAAGGAGATGACATTGGGCACACCCCAAACTGCCATTCGCACCGGGCTTACTCACCAAATCCCATGTTTAAGGGGGACAAGGAATAACGCGGCTCACGCGAACGCCCTTCAACTTCAGACTTGTTCAACTTCTTGTATGCAAGGCGACAGCAGGAGACATGGTCAGGAACACAGACTCATAGGGATTATCTACAAACACGGTGTCTTTCTTCTCATCCACGGCATTTAGGTCATCCGGAAGCTTCTTGAACGTACGTGGAAAGCTTGAAAGGTAAACAGAGAAAAACACGTCCTGGAGTTTCGTGTCAGCCTGGGATGCCCTCCATTCCGCGAGTATCTTTGAGCCAGTCGGGGAACTTCCGGGGCAGAGGGCTCGTTGCTGGCGGCATGTCGGGAGGGATCACTTTGCCCGCCTGGCTCGCTCGCGCGCCGCAGGCTGGGCGAGTCAAAGCTGGAAAGCTTTGCCGCACAGTTCAGCGGGCGGCCGAGCTTGAGCCCTCCCAGTCACTTAGCTTTGGGGACGGCAAAACGGCGCATCTCTCATCAGGAGCAAGGCAGGTGGCGGCCGACAGTCGTGGATCGTTTTGCGTTTGCTGCGCAGTCCCTTTGGCAACGCCATGCCCTTTCTGCTGAGGTAATTTCTCTCACTGAGTTGTCTCTGTTTTTGGCCAAGCCTTTAGTAGTTTGATTATTGATTTAATCGAAGTTTAACGAGGGCGGACCAAGAGGAGGACAATGAACCAGCCAGCTACCTGTTTGTATGTGCATCGTCTAAGCACGGGCATGTGCTGGCCCTACATTTGGCTGCCGAGGACTATGTTTGACAGAATTGTTGCCAAACAGTCTAAGGTGAAAAGCAGCGGAAGAAGCTCCTCCGAATTGTGCGGGAGGCCGTTTGGCGGAGAGGCTTTCCCAATAGAGCCCGGGGAAAGTATTTTACGCGTAATAATTTTATTTGGCATCAATTGTTAGTTTTTGAGAAAGCTGCAGAGACAGCAGCACGTTGCCAAGTTGTAGGCATTTCAGAAACGCGAATTGGAGGCTTGGTGCAAGCCGGGCCAAAACCGCTGGATTGAACGGCCGTGAGTTTCAGAAGCTATGGAGTAAATGCTTGATGTTTGCCGAAACAATATGAATGATCATGGCAACTACAATCAAGTCTGGATGATGAGGCTGGTAGCAAGAATGCACACCCATGAACTCTCCCGTTTCTTTTGGCTGTGGCACAAGTGAGCATTTGAGCACAGCTTCAATGGCCACTTTGACAGGTTGGGGAGGCTGCCACGTTTCGTTTTTCTAAAGGAGATAGCTTTGGACGAATCTCAACTCGTGTTTTTCTGGGCCCATGGCTTGCAGTGCTGATTGAAGGCTGCAAGACGCCACTGTGCGTCCACGCCAGCTTCGGCCCAAAAAGCATGTGGGATTGCAGCTACGTTCAAGCCAACTGGATCGCGAGCTGCGAGAGAGCTGACAGGGCTTACTTCCTATGCTCTCAGAGGCAGTCGAGTTCCTTCGCTTCCCCTGGATTAGGGACAGGAGCCCCGAAAAGCCAGCAAGCCACACGCCCAACCAGACATTGCGCTTCGAGGATTGAACGAGCGTCGCGCGCCTCTCATGCGCCCATGCGCTTGGCCCTCACGGCTCTCCAATGCAGAGAGCGCTCCGACACCCGACACGAGCCTGCGCTCTTGCGGGTGCGGCGGCCCGTGGCCAACCGCCTGTGGCTGCCCTCTGTGGCCGAGACCCGAGTTACGAGTGGGATATCCATTGGGGCAGGGGCAATATGGCGGTCGTCACAAACAGGAAACCCCAAAGTGGAACCCTGGTAAATGGAACCAAGGACTAAAATGTTTGACCCATGTCCATATGCGTTTGGAAGACGATGCATTCTGATGTTGATTTATCATTTGTCCGGACACGCTTCCGCAAGTTGACCTAGCCTTCATCGATGTGCAGGGTGTTTTTTAGTTCGGAAATTCCGTCGCCCCTGTGACGACGATGGGCTCAGGCCTGCAGCTCCTTGCTGGGGGCGTCAGTTGCAGGCGGAGTGCCACCGGTGGCACAAGCTCGACCATCGAAGGGCCACAAATCCCTGGCAGATTTGCACTCTTGAGTGATACATAGCACGACAGCAATGCACTGAAACGCAGATTGATATGGGCATATATTGTTCTGTTGGGGTGTTTTTAAGATAGGTGAATCCCAAGGACCACTATGAGGGGGGGGGGTGTGAGGGCGGGGAAGGTTCCTCCAATTCGACTTCACACGTGGCCTTGCACACCACAGAACCTCGCGGAGCAAAGCGCGCAAAGAGCGCGCTTTTGTCAGGGGGAGCCCCACAACGCCGAGGCGAGGGCCGGAGTCTCTTGGAAAACAACTCTGGCAACCAACATGTTGTTGTAAGGCCATGCAAACTTCCTAGTCTAGAAGTTGTTGTGTTCAGTGTTTTTGTGTTTCCAGGGTAGGTTGTAACAAGTTTGGTCAGATTGAGGGCAAAGGTGGAGAAAGTCAGAAAAAGACGCACCACTTGGAAGATGCCCAGAAGTTTTCTCTTGGAGCATGGACCCTGGCAGTGGGCGGAGCTTAGGGTGGCAACTATGGTGCCCTCATGCAAGAGCAGGAAGTTGTGGAACAGTTTTGAGTCTGATTGTATGACCGTTTCGGGCACTGGCGGATGGAATTGGTTTATATTTTTGTTGGTATTCCGCACCTCAGTACACGATTTCTTGATACCTTGCTTCCCCCCAGACAACTGCTATCCCGCTTTCGCTTCGGGATGCAAGCTTCTGGCAAGCGCAATCTGATCCTTCCAATTCTGAATTATTGGTTTTACTCACCTGGGTTTCACCTCATCTCATGGTGCTGTCGCCCCCTGCAACTACCTTGCGCACGCTGCGGGCTCCCGCGTAATTGTTCTGGCCCTTGCCCATGTGCTGCGGGCTCGCTTTGGTGAGGCGCTGGAGGGAAGGCACGCATGGCGCAGGATGCTTGGAAGGGCAGGAGATATGACCTGAACGATTCGACATCCCTAGTATTCAATATACGCACTTGATCCAAGCTTAGATTTGCACCAGGATTCTTAGAGGACAGACGCAAGGGTCATCGTTGCTTAACAAGAGTTTGTAGCCAACGCCCATGTCAAAATGGAACAGTTTGAAGTCCCATTTTCTGAGTCAGCCATGTGTTTGAGAGGAAAGCAAGTGCGTATGCTCCCTTTGTGAGATTAAGCTTTCCAAGTAGAAAGACTTTGTCTGCAGGTTGTCTGCATCGGGCACTTGACACGGAAGAATCAGCGATCAGGCTTGATCCATGGATCCTAAAGTCCAATCCGAGGCATCCATTGTCAACCAGCCAAGCAGTTTCTCCAAACCAGAGGCAGCCAACACTCTTGACTTGTCTCCTCCCCTATAAAGCCTAGGACGCTTCAGAGACCATTTGCTTTCTGCTGGTGCAGCTACCATTCAAGAACGACCCTCAACCAGGTGCCAATCCTACTTTTCCCACGTCCACTATGGGAAGTGAGGGTGTGTCTTGGGGAGACGCCATTCTGATGGTTTCTCCCTTTCGTTTCCCTTTCGAGCCACGCCAAACAGCTTATCACCGCAACGTTGCCAAGGCGCATCGACCGGGTTCAGTTCCTGGGCACGGGCTCCGCGGTGCCAGTGCCAGGCGCGGAAGTTGGCCCTTGGGTGCGTCAGACGTTGAGGGCACACGTGTTTGATGGTTAAACCGGACACCGATAGGAAGACACCCAAGAAATGGGGTCGATGTTGAGAAGCACCCATGGTGTATCTCAGAGTGGGACACCCTTGGTTTGGTTCTTTGGTTCTCGGCTTGAACGGAAGACACAACGCAACCAACCATCCAGCGATTTTGGGTCGGGAACTCCTTTCGTAGGTGGACAAGACAGTTGGAGTCATCCTCAACTTCTGGTTCTACCAGATCTGTCGGCTTCCATGTTTGTCTTCAGGAAAGCAAACACCAATGTTCAGCGCCTTGAGCAAATGATTGTAAGGCTTTATGAGCCTCTCTCTTTAATGCCATCAAGAACATCTTTCAAGATGCATGAACTATATGGTATACATGGTCGATGTTTGACGAGGCCGACCTGTAGAAGTTCTTCGGTGCACTGAAAATGTGGGAGTCATGGAACGTGACAACTGGGCATCTCTGGCAGTGAAACGCGGGTTCAGAGGCCCGGATCATCGGGGTGCAGTTGGTGGGAATGGAGTCTTTACACGCTTTTCCCAGGTTGGAACCTTTTGTGTGAGCAAGTTGTTGATAGGACATAAGGGCCCAACCCCAATTGAGCCACAATCAAAACCCGGGCATGTGAAGGTTAGCACGGCATGCTCCCTACCACAAATAGCTGCGGCCGCCTTGTTAGTTCTTTGCATGGTTCTGGGTGGACCATTTTAATACCGGGTTTTGGTTTATGACTCAATTTTTCTCAAGGGCAAAGGTCCTTTTCAAGACATCTTTGAAGGTCTGAGGTCACGGAGTGCCGTTTTTTTTCTCTCTCGCCATACAGGACAGCGGAACATGCCGGTCTCCCAGCCTTTTTTACAGCACCTGGGACACTGCGTTTTATCGGGCCATAGAACCAGTGCTCGAGAGCATTCGGAGTTCAGCGCTTGGGAACCAGAATGAAGCAGCGCACGAGCCAATGTCTGATCAACATCTGAAGCCACTGATCTTGAATCTTGACCACTTAGAAGAGATGACAAGGTCCATGCTTGCCAATTAAGGTCAAGCGTAGCCATCATGCTGAACACAGGAGACCGTGTTCGGCGTATCTCTTGTCATGCACAGTCCACCTCTTGAGGGGAATTTGGCGTGATGCTTCGCTGTTGGACCCTGCGCAAGATGAATGGCAGAGTTTAACTTTTCACAGTGAGTGATCGCTATGCCCACAAGACTTGAGGCATGAGAAGTAGGCCTGCCCCAATGCCAGGAGCCGCCATCCTGGTGGACTGTGGTGAGGGAACGCAGCATCAGATCAAGGCGCTTCGGATTGGATGGCTGGCCACTCTAGAAAACGGTTTGGATGCGCCTTTTGTGGATTTCACCTGTTCTTCCCCATGTCGATTATTTTTAACAATCTTTTTGTACTCTTTTCATATCCCACGGGGGTGGATCCACAACGTCAGATCCAACTCATTTTCTGGAGCCACAGCTTCCGCCTGAGAACCCCGTCCAAATTTGGGCCGACCTTCGAGGACAACGCCCTTGAGAGAGTGGCGATGTGTGAAAACCTCATGTCCCATGAAGCGCTTGGCTAAACATGGAGATCGGGGAGTACCTCTAGGTGTTACCTGTGGATTTGTCAGATCTGACCGGTCCATGGGAGAACCGAGAAACACCGCGTCTCGGGGCACTGCAAGAAAAAACACCCCCGCGATGCTCGACCTACGTCACCGTGGTTTCGTGGATTCTTGAGAAACTGTGTCCAGCTTTACATGCAGCTTCCAGGTGAGCACGATGCTGAAGCTGTCGCGGGTCGAGGCTGAGTACGGAAAGTTGTCGGCAGTCAGTGGGTAGACTTGGCAGTTGCAAACCTTGTGTCATTTGCCTTTGGCTCAAAGCTTTTAGCTTTGCCGTAGCCATGGAATTCCAGTTCTGGAATGATACAAGGCGGCGGCTGACATGCAATGCATGCTTGCCTTTTGTCGGTGGATTAGCTACCCAAGCTGTTTGCAAGCTTGCTGACCATTCACACTTGTTGATTGCGGGGACCCAGCTGCGAGGGCACCAGTTTCTTGAGCGTGCGGCCCCCTCCAGCCTTATGACTCTGACGTGCGGTTTCTTGAGTATTTTTAGGTTGGAAAAAACCAAAAGGGACACGGATTTGACATACCCCTTGCTCAGGCAATGGCAAAGCTTCCACGAT